CGGCCATCGATCCGTGCCACTTCCCCTAATGGCCCGTCTCTTCCTCCTCCTCCCCCTCCCCTAGGGCGGATCGTCCCCCGGCCTCCCTGTATGTGAGAGACGGGGCCGGCGTCTCGGACGGAGCCGGGCCGCGGGAGAGCGCTTCCTTCCCACCGCCCGCACCGCCGTGCGCGGCAGCCCCAGCATGGAAGCCATCGCCAAGTACGACTTCAAAGCCACTGCGGATGACGAGCTGAGCTTCAAACGGGGGGATATCCTTAAGGTAAGTGCAGAGTTCCCTCCTTCGCCCTCGGCTTTTCAGCTTTTCTCCCGGGTCTCTTCCTGTCTGTCAGACCTGACCCTCTCTTGCGTCCCCAGCGAACGCCATCTCCTGTGGAAAGGGTACCTCCAGATTTCCTCAATCCTAGCCTGACCTCGTTAAGAGCAGGAGAGGTTGTTTTGTTTCTGTATTAAGCACGCATCCCAAAGTCTCTCGGGTCTCTCTTCCGACACTGGAATATTTGAAAACTTAGTCGTAAACATGGTAGCAAATAAGCAGAAGTACAAGATAATCCCTACACTGAATTCTCTTCTACAAGAGGAAACCCCTTAAAGTAATCAAGAACAACTTGGAATTTCTTTCCTTTGCCTCCTGCCAAGGATTCCAATATCAAAGAACAGTGATTAGATTATTTCTCAGTAGATTATCTTTTAGCATCAGGCTGTCAAATATTGGTGCTGAGTTTTATCTTCAGTCCTGATGAAATCGAGTGATAAGCTTGTGGCTGAATATTTAATGGATCTGTGCAGATGTAAGTGGATGTTGGAGTGCATTAGAGGAATTTTGGTCTGTAGTTCTTTCAATATATCAAAGGCTTTTTAGGCTTCATCTTGGCTATATTAAAGGAATTTGAAAATACTTGATTATCTAAAACTTTATGTAAAAAAAGAAAAAGGACACGCAGAACAAGCCTGCAGTTTTACTGGGGGTGTGTGTGTGAAATATAATAATCCACAGTGATTTGGCCTTGTTGAAGCATAGCTCAGAGCTTTGTTGCTTGCAAGTAATACAAACCATATTGCGGAATGTTTTAATGGAGTTTCATTCAGAGTTAGTATTTCTCCATAAATGTGTCTTTACCTTCTTAGAGTGATGTATTTAGTATTTAAGTATTTTAAGCTGCTGCTTTCTAAAATGCTTGGGGTAGAAACTGGTTTGAGACGTCCCTGTCCTGCACATGTAAGGCTGTATCTTTGTGTATGCTGACAAATCAAGTCCTGCAGACCTCAGTGGGATTACTCATCTACTCAAAATTTTTGCCAGGGAAGGGCTTGATTTTTAACTACTATTCTAAGATAAGTTGGAAAAACCCAGCCCCTATGTATAAATTTAATGTGTCTTTTATAGCTGATATTTCAGTAGCATAACTGCGCCATTAAAGGTGCAGTAATGCTGTGTGGCCATCAACAGATAAAGGTTGCAAAAATGTATCCTGCTTTGAGATTAAGTTTTAAAACTAATCACATCTTTATATATTCTAAACATCCCTGGCCCACAATTGGCCTAAAAATGCCCTTTAGACCTGTACGCCTCAATTCCAGTGTTTATGTAAATCACCAGAATATACCTTTTGCTGTTTTTAAGCATTCAAGACTGTCAGAATTTTAGAAATCTTCTGTGACAATCTTGCATTTATTTTTTTTTAACCTGAGCTGTATTCTTCTATTTCTGGGTTACTACTAGCTACCCTCAGCTTTTATAGTACATTTAAAGTAGAGCACAGCTGAAATCAGCTTGTAGAAAATGCTGAACAGGAAGGAAAAATTAAGTATAATGAAATGTAGTTAATTTTAAAGTGTATTCTTAATTATTTTCATCTAGTTTGGTATAGAATTTTGTTGAAGTACATGAAAACATGTCTTGTAAAATTTGCATTAATTTGAAAAAGAATTCTTTTCTGAGAATTAAAGGAAAAATAACTTTTTTTTAGAATTTTGAAAGTTAAAACTCTTACACCTGCACACAGTGGCTGATGGTAAGGTGTTCTTGAGTCCTAGCCGCTTGATGTCATCCCATAGATACAAATTTTGTCACAGTGATAGAAACCTGGTGGTATGCATGCTAATACACTCCATTAATCATTGTATTTTTCCTAGAATACAGGGAGGGATTTTCCTACTCTACACAAAACCTAGGCTGAACACTTCCTCAAAGCGTTGATGAACAGTTCTTCAAAGTGTATTTCCTTCCATCTCATTCTCAAAAGGCTTACAGATGTTACAGATTTACCTCATAGATGAGCTGAGCCATAGGAATGGCAAATTGCTCAAGATTTCACTGAAGTCAGTGGAAACTCCAAGAGTTGCAGGAATCCTTCAGCACATAGCTGAGCTGAGTTCTGTGAAGCATGGTAAGGTTCACTGCCTAAAGATGGCAAATTGCGGACGAATAAACTAAAAGCAATTAGAATTGTTACAGTTTGCTTTACTCAAACTGCTAAACTTGTGTGGTGCTTTATTGTTTTGAAGGTCTGGTTCACGTCAAATGTGTGTCAGGTTCTGGAAGTTAATTTCCGTCAGACATGCCAGATGTGTTGTGTTAGGACTTCGCTCATGACTGAGAAATCTCAGGGTATCCCATTCATATGCCTCATGTGATCTGTCCTATTAATCAGGTCAGTCCTGCTGCCCTCGAATGAATTGGGAAGAGAAGCTTGTAACGTGTTAAGTGCACCTGCACACGTCGCTCCTTAGGTACCCCTTGCCGAGGCACACGCGTGACTCACATGTAGCAGACTTCTTTAAATCTAGCTATTGATGCTCCCCATGACAGTCAGGTTAGTTTGATGTATATGATGACGGCAAAGGGTCGTTTCACAGGGAAACATTACGCCTGGACCACACTAAGGACAAAATCTCAAACACTAATTCCCACTCCTTGAAAGTTTTTCTTTGTGGGAAGCGAAGGCAAAGATGCACACTGTCTGATTCCCCCCGACTGCAGCAGATAACTTGCCTATGATGTCATGGTGCCATTACTGCTGCCTACCCACGTATTCGGGACTTGATTGAATAGCGTTTGAACTGTAGCCATTAAGCTGGTGGTTAGTAATCTTGTGGCTGGTTTCCAAAAGTGAGTGAAGATAGTTGACCTTTGGCTTGCAATTGTAAACCAGCTGAGTGAAGAGGAAAAGTGCTTGGCCTTTTCTTTCGTGGGCGCTATGTGGTGAGAGCTGCTTCTGTGCTCTTTGTAACCCTGGTAGTACACTGGATCCCCTTCTCTGTAACTGTGTGGTATTGCCATTCAGAGGATACAAACTGACAGCTTTCTTCAGACTTTTTAAATATGCTAAATACTACTTGCCGAGCAGGGAAAGGTCGCTACTTCCTGCTGCGTCTTCTGATTACAGTGCTGCAGCTCTCAAGATCACCGTTCTTTTCATATGCTGGTGGTTGCTTTGCAAAAACTTGTTGGTGACTGACATCCTCCTGGGGATGTGAAGATAGCCTGTCCTGTTATTTAAAAAAAAAAAAAAGGTAAAAAAAGGAAGCTGAAGGATTCCTACTTGCAATTTTGTTGTACTGTTTTTCACTTTGAATAGTTGACAGTTGTCATGATGCTTTTTCAGTGTTTTCCCCTTTTGCTTGCTGTATTTATTGAGGTTGGGAGTAGTTAACTTCAGTCTCTGTCTATATTTGTTCAGGTTTTATGTCCCCAAAACCTATTGTCTTTTGAGCAGTTTCTGATTTTGTTGGCCTTTGTGCTAACTGGCAAGTATCCAGACCTAAAGTGTGCTAATACTTGCTGGTGGTTTGGCAAGAGCCAGGGCAGGAGGAGAGAAGAAAAATCATTTGTTCTCTCATCTCATCATCATTTCTTTTCTCTATTCCTCCTACACCTGATCTGAAGTGTACAGTTAATGGTGCTCTGATAACTGTTTCTACATGGTTAGTACAGAAGCACTAAATGTAATGTTAGAATTGTGGGTTTTCTTAAAAGCTATAGACCACTGCTCCATTTCCTCTTTCTCCTTCTGTTGTCAGGTTGGGGCATAGCTGGGAAGTGATCTTCAGAACTGAATAAGTTCCTGTTCCTGGTGGCTGTCAGCATAGTTAATTCAGGGATACCTACAAATTGGTTTTATGAGTAAAATTATTCAGGTGATGTTTTAAACAGAGGGCCTTCATCTGTCATGTTGGGGTTTTCACTTTCGTGTGACACACCAACCAGCTTCCCTATATACTAAAAGAAGGAATTCCTTGGTGGGATTTTGATCACTTGATAGTTTCGTTCAGCCAAGTCAAGGGGTTTTTTTCCTACTCTGATCATACACTTGACAGTTACTGCAGGTTCTGTTCACATGATTTTTTTTTTTTTTTGGCCACCAGATTTATTTTCTTTGTCAGCCTTTGAGAGGATTGAGTGTTTGCGAACAGTTGATGCTGAGATGGCATTTTCAGTTCCTGCATGAAAACCATTTTTCTGTGTCTGGATACAGTGAAACAGTGTTGAATGGAGAGGAATATGAACAAGGGGAGCATGTTTCTCACTCTTCTTCCTTATCCCTTGTCTTTGACCTCACTTGCACTGGCTGCTAGGCTGATGGACTCAGTGTGGTCTTGATGATTTTAATATGTGAGAAACCGTTTTCTGAATTACTGATTCAGGCAGATGGCAAGCACTGTGTGCTTTGTAGTGAAATAGGTCAGATATTAGAATAGGTTGCCCAGAGAAGTTGTGCAATCCCTATCCTTGGAGATACCCAGACAAGTCCCAGAGCACTCTGATCTGATTAGACCTGTTTTGAGAAGGAGGGTGGATTGAGTGACTTCCAGAGGCCCTTCAAACCTATGTTATTCCCTGAATTAGCGGTGAGTGGCAATTCTGTTGTAAGTGATGGTTGACTTGTACAGGTGCGTTTAGGTCATGTTCTTTGGCTGGCGGCCTTGAATGAAGATTGTAATTGTCATCAATATATGATCCATATTGCAATCTGAGAAGACTCAGAAAATTACAGAGACTCAGAAAGAGTTCAGTTATCTTAAATGTGGTTGGTTTGGTGTCCTGGCAGTTGGAGATCTGCGTTACAAAAGGTGCTGCAGTAAGAGGTTGCGTTCTTCTGGTCTGCCCAACTCTTTAATGCCTGTGTTTTTAGTACGGACTGCTCAAGCAGTGTTCCCCTCAGTGTACGATAGTACTGTGAAGGTGGGACGTGTTTTATTAGCCGACTTCCCTAGGCACTGGGGAGGAGGGTTGTGGGGAGGAGCTGCATATCCTCCACA